ACGAGGACGCGGACGAGGACGACGACGACGACGACTACGACTACGACTACGACTACGACTACGACTACGACTACGACTACGACGACGCGACTGAAACTGCGACTGCGATACCTCCATTACCCCTACCACAACCACTAGCGACGGCGACTACGACCAGGACTACCACCGCGACTTCGACTTCGAGGTCGACGACGACGACGACTACCACTAGTACTCTACTGCTACTCGTAGGTGTAGCAAGGCCCTGAAAGCTCGAGTAGGGAAGCGACCATGCTCACACATTGTCTTGGAGAGCTAGCAGGATGCAGTGAAGCTCTTCAAGCTCCAACGTCTGTGGAGCTGTCGGTTGGCGACGACCAGTAAAAACAAGCGGGCGCAAACCAGAACATCATTCTGTCTCAGAACTACGATGCCTGAGAGAAACGCACCAGTGTCACGGCAAAACAGCAGTTCGGGCACACAGTAAAGCACTTCGCTCTGGCCATGCTGAATGCCAACACGTTGTTGTTGCTGCCACTGCTATTGGATACTGGTATCAGCAACTTCGCCTCTGCTCTTGCGATTATCAGGAATTGCACTGCTTCCTCTTGGTAACCTCGCTCAAGCCTTCGGCGCAACTGCACAAAACCGCGTGCCACCCACTCCCCCCAGCCTATTGTGCCACTGGCACCGGCGGCGCGCAGCTTGCTCACGACATCCGGATGACCATTCCTAGGACGGCTCTTCTCCAGTCCGTTTCCGTGCAACTCTAGTGTTCAGTTATCACTGCACCTACTCGAAACGAGGTGCGCCTGCCTGTCTGAGTGAAAACTTCCATACAAGGCTCTGCTTGGCGATTTTGACTGCTGTCACACCGTTCTTGTCCACCTGAGCTGCGACTCAGAATCCCGGCAAAGACTCCAGCAAGATGAATGCAGCTCCTCCACTCGCACGCAGGTGCACAATGTGCATGGAGGATGCACTAACCCATCAGTGGTTGGCAGTGGATGCCACTGCAGCAGCCGGCGAACTTGATTGTGAGCCGGCGGCATGAGGAACAGGGAGGTGCAGTTTCGCACATACCCGAACCTCAACCTCTACATCTGGCACGCCGAGAGGCATTGTTTGGATCCGCTCTGGCCTGTCAGAAACAGAAAGAAGCCGGTGGCCGTCTTTCGGCTCAAACGGTTCGGACAGGCCTAGGGCCCAGGGCTCGTGGTTACTGTTGCAGTCAAGCCTGCTCAAAGCCCTGAAATGGCGCAGCAAGGCACCACCGCCCGGCCTTCAGCATCACATCCACGATGGGGCCGTGCCCTGACATGGCCCCAAACATGAGAGCCGTACATCCATCCTGACAGGGAAGGCTTGCTCGACACATGCCTGGGCAGCTACGATGACGCTTCGTTCTCACTTGCTTGCAGGATGGCTGCTATTGAAACCGACTTCTCGGAAAGATCATGCAGCGCTTTCGTGAATGACGCCAGCCCACATCACGCATCCATCCCATCCAAAAAATTGGTATTTTCCTGGTTTCGGGTAATTGACATTGGCACTGCTCCATCGTGCTATGTCTCGTCCGATCATCCGAAGCAGAGCCTCGCGGGCAAGTTCCAAAGTGGCGTTCGCCTGAAGGAGCTCTTGCATGACGCCACCCTGCGCAGCAGAGTACATGCTATGATTCCGGAAATCGGTGCAAACGGTGCAAGGACAGGGCATGCGTCAATTGAATAAGCGATGTCACTGTCTGGCAGTATGCTTCAAAACAAAGCTCTCCTTGCCACCCTGCGCGGCGACCATCAGCGGAGAGGCACCATCCTCTCATGGCGGTAGTTTCACGCACAATTCACCCTCGCCCCGGAAATTGGCCACTGATTCTGTCCGGACACTGTGGCTGCAATTGACATTCCGTTGAAATGTTCCTGCCCAACAAGCGAAGTAAACCTTATAGGAGTCTTGCAAGGAGCTGCCTCGCGCTGCGTGTCCACGTCCGCCTCCAGGGCAAGCAGGAGCGCTGCGGCCTCTGACTGGCCGCACCTCCGCCGTCGGTTGAGACTGAATGGGGCATCCCTCCCTTCTTTCCCCATTCCTTTGTGTCTTCTGGGCCTGGCTGCTTCGAAGAGGGCTGTGCCGCCTGCTCCAGAGCAGGACAATAACCGCATATTAGCATATTAGTCACTACTAGTCCACTTCTCAACAGCCTTTCTTGTCGCGAAGCTCAATATCGGCGCCAGCTTCGATCAGCTCAGCCATAACGTCGCCTGATTCGAACTGACTATCTCTCTGCATTTCGGTGTGAGGCACCCACTCCGGAAGACCCTTCGCTTAAGGAGGGAAACCTAGTCACCTCCCGTGGGCACCAGCTCTCCACTTCCCTGCTGCCTCGCATGCCCCTCCGGTGCCGCCATGCTGCTGTGACCCGCACGTGCTGCAAGCATAAGGGCTGTAAGCAGCGCGTCTGTGGTACAGTCCACATCAGCATCAGCCTGCAAAGATTGCTTGTCTGTGGCTCCAAGCAGCCTGCGATACAAGGCCTACCCAACCTGAGAAGGGAAGAGCCTCGCAAGAGTCCGCTTCTTTCTGCGGCGCAGTAGTACCTTCTCTTCCTAGTTCGTACCGAAATTCTGGAAGAACTCCGATAATGGCATGCTGGAGCTGAAACTGTTCCGCAGCTTCGGAGGATTTATGCCGGTGTCCATGGTGACATCATTCCATCTTTTCTGCCAGGGCCTCTAGAAGATCCAGGACGATGTCCACGAGCCCGAACATGGCCGCGCGGTGCAGAGGTGTGACCTGAGCTGAAGCCATGAGTATCCAGGTAACCACAACCTGACGAGGAATGATTTCTTGGGTGATCCTAATTCCTGGAGTTAGGGCTTTGGGTTTAGTGTGCTTCTGGCAGTCCTAGGTCTTGGCAGGCCCTAGCACAGCTGCCCGTCGTTACATCGCAAATTTCGCATCGAGCGGTACAAGCAAGCAGCAAGAACCCTGTGGTCTGACGGAAAAATATGGAAAAAGCTGTGACTCCAACAACTTCCAGCTATGTTGGCGGAGCCTTCAGAGTGCTTGGTTGATGCATGTTTCTCAAGTACTGTCGGTAAATTTGGTATATCACCTCAGAATACTCAGCCGCAGTGACACCAGTAACGTCTGCAGCATCCACGGCTGCGCCAGCGGACAGCAGCTCGGACACCACTTCCGTCTTGTTGCCTTCTGCCACCCGATCTCGAGCGCTGCCCGCTGTTTCTGATTCTGTCACTCTAGTACGCTCCTCACGACTACGAATATCACGAATTCTACCTTCTGCACACGCCAAGCGCAACTACAATTCACAACACATCGCTCGAAGTCAGCCGAATCCCTCTCCAACCCTGGATTTAGAAGCAAGCTCCTTCTGCAGCAGCAGCCAGCGGCGTCGCACCGGAGGCAGTTGCAGCCTCAAATGCTTTAGATGGCCAAGAGATGGAAGCAGGGCATTGACAGATGGAGAAGCCAGTAGATTCTCAATTGCCAGTACTTGGTGCCACTGGGCTGGTTGGAGGCCCTTCGCCTACCTAAAGAGCTTCATGCGCGGGATTGGCACACTACGGTCACAGCACATGCAGGTTCACCTAAAGCAAACAAGTAACCAAGCGTCAAGCACGCGTCAGCTTTTTCGCTTTGGCGACTACCAGTTAAGAAGCTGGTCTTGCACTTCCCGACTGTTGCCGCCAGTTTCAGGATTGCCCCAGGTCACGACCAGTCCATCCTCCAGTTGGGCCGCGAAGGCACTCTCTGTCGCGTGAATCATGTCAACCCTTACAAGCTGCGCTTTCACTTGACTGCAATCACCACCGAAGTCGCTATCGCCCCATGTAACTACAGACCCATCCTCTGTGATGGCAGCAAATGCTCGCTTTGTTGCTTGGATGGCACGCACATTCTTCAGCTCCTGCTGAACAGACTTGCTATCACCAGCATATCTAGGGTCACCCCAGGTCACCACAGAACCGTCGCGTCGTACTGCAGCATAAGCTCCCCTCGTGGCGTAGATTTCACGCACATTCTTGAGTTCCGGCTGTACAGGCTCGCTGTTTGCTGCAACAACCTGTGCACCACCCCAAGTCACCACGGATCCGTCTTCGAGAAGAGCTGCCATAGCAGATCCATCTATGGCACAGAGAGGTCGGATTGCTTCAACATTCCTCAGCTTGCCCTGCACGGAGCTGCTATTGCCACCATCGTCTTCAGCGCCCCAGGTCACAACACTTCCGTCCATGAGGACGGCAGCAAAAGCGCCGCTGGAGGAGTAGATTTCTCTTACATCTCGCAAGTGCCTTTCGACAGATTGACAGTCACCCCCACAGTCCCTATGGCCCCAGGTTACGACCTTGCCATTGGCAAGGATAGCCGCGAAGGCCCCCAATGTCCATCGGAGTGTCTGTACATGCTTCAACCTGGTCTGCACGGCGGAGCTGTCCCCACCCCGGTTCGCATTGCCCCAGGTGACCACATTTCCATTCTCAAGCAGTGCGACAAAAGCGCAGCCGTTTGTGTGGACATGCTGCACATTTCTCAGCATGCCCCGAATACTACTGCTGTCTCCCCCTGCGGATGCCTTGCCCCAGGTGACGACTGAGCCATCCTCACGAAGCGCACAAAACGCTCCAGCCGAGGCAATCACTTTTTTCACGCTCCCACGCAGCTCAGTCTCGACATGCGAGCAATCACCTCCGCACTCGGTTCGGCCCCATGCCACAACATTACCGTTGTGGAGCAAGCCAACAAAGGCTGAAACGCCGGCCACGATTTCCCGCAGGCGCCCGCGAACTGCGAGCCGGTCATTTCCAGCAAACCTGCCCCAGGTGACAAGCGTTCCGTCTCCCAAAATGGCACCGAAGCCTTCTTGGCTCGCCGTCAGACGGGGAGGGCTCGTCTTCAATGTAAGCACCTCTCCATCCTTCAGATCGGCACCGCGAACGGTTGTGTCTACATCGAGAATGATATGGCCCCGTATTAAGGTGCCTCTTCGCACATTCAGCTTGCGCTGTGCTTGTCGCTTCAACTCATCAATGGAGGTGCTGCTGGCAACCTCAATCACTTCGCTGCGTCCGCTGATCAGGCAAACTGTGACTGAGACCGGTCCTTCGGCTACAGCCACGGCTGGCACGTCAATCTGGCAGCTGACGTCAAGAAATTCGCGACAACGAGCGTGGTCCAATAAGAGGTACCTGCCAATGCCTAGGCCACATCTTTCCATCATCTCATCAGATCTGGATTAACGGGGCCAGGTCTCAAGTTATGTACTGCAGGCTAAACCAGGTGACGCGTATGGGTGAGAAGACTAAAAACTAAAGGGACTCCACAGCAAATGCCACTACAATCGTACGCCCTGCCCCATACTCGACAACAGACAGGGCTGTCAATGTATGCTAATCTGGTGAGGAAGACCAGCTGTCTTTCTGCATGTAACTGCACGAGCCATCTGCGGGCGGCAAACAGGACCGAAATGCATGACACAAGCATTTGCCAGCGGCCCAGCTTCAGAAGCTAAAGCGCACAGTAAACTCTGTGAGGACACGCCTAGTGCCAGAAGCTCCCAAAGTCCAGGCATGACGCATTCCCTCCGGACCAAGAGCAAGGTGCAGAGCCCATCTCGGCGCCTCCACGTTGGCCCCGGCTGCCAAGAGCATCCGCAGCGGCGCTAGACCACCAGCAAAGGCCGCGGCAATCAGGGCCGACGCCTGACAGAGATTCTCGTTGCTATGCGTGCCCGTGCTGCAAGCAGTATGCTGTCACCTAAATACATACAGCACCTTGCTGGAATCATGACGTGCAAGCACGACTTGCAGTGACAGGCAGCAGGCCATGCTGTGCTGCAGTCAGATAACGCCTAGAAACATGTCTCAGACAGAATCCGGGATCGGCCAGGCTACATTTTGCTTGTTGACAGCATTCACATCAGCGCCCGCTTCCAACCTGAAAAATCTTTGAAGCCATCTGGAACTCGCACATACACATCTGTTCACATGTGGCAGTCTGTGCTCGATCCATGAACCAGAAAGGGTTAAGGCGGAAATCCGAACCTTCAAGACGAGGAGATACTGACCACGTCACCGTGACATCGTGCCTTCTTTGCTTCAGCAACCGCAGATGCAGTTTCCAAGGTATCCTTACAACCAATCGTGCGGCCCTCGCTGCATGTCAGCCGAGCGACAGGTGTTCCATCACCTTGACGTGCCCCTGCCCTGCGGCAGCAATCCTTGGAGCTCCAAAAATGCCCGTGCGCGTGAACTGCAACAGTGCAGACAGACTCCAACCACCTTGCAATAGTGAGAATAAGAGCGACCTGGCATTAGTTGTATCTGTAACCATTTCTACCGACAGGCCTATCGTATGGAACACAAGGAGAAACCATCACCAATTAGCAATAGGATGTAGCAGGCAGACGAAATGGTGGGAACGAGCAAACTAAACTGACTAAGCAGCAACCGAAGTCATCATCCAAACAAATGTCAATCGTCACGATGGAACGTAATAAAGTGAAAGCAGTAATTAGTGAGTAGCAATGACATAGTAACATCAGCAGGAAGTTCTACTCATAGCCGTACTTGCACATTTGCAGCAACCGGCTTGTCGTTCGATCGGCTTCAACACCACACGCCTCATAACTGGCAATATCATATATCCGATATCCCAATGCCAGGCCGCAGCGGACGTTGGCCATTGCTGTCCACAGCGTCTGGCGCTGTACCAGACCGCAGGAGATCATCGACCTGCGTCTTGATGTTGATTGGTACGATTGCTGCTGTCCTTTTCAAACCATACGAAGTTTAAGGCAGCAAAAGCAATCATCATACACTAATTTAGGAGGTGAATGTCATTCTGGCCTGCTTGGTGTTGCCTGCACCCGCAGCCGCAACGAGGTCGCCGGTGGCCCTCAGTGCTACCTGGGGTGAATTAGCCATCTACCTCCGAGACTGCCAAATTCTTGGAGGGGATCTCAAGGGTGGGAACACATCCAGCCGCCAGGATGTGCTGGTACTGGGTCGATAAATTACACCGGCCTTCCAGGCACGTCCGAGGTGAGAACCTGGATAAGTCGCGAAACCTGGGCTGGGCTGCGAGATCGTTCTGATTGCGCTGCCTGTGCCAAGACTGTGACAATAGCCTCAACATGTAGCAGTCGTAGCCATCATTATTTTGATGGTTATTGCTGTAGGTACAACACCTTACCGCCAAGTCTTGCTGTTTTCCAGAATGGCAGAAGGAGGTTTCTCTGGTGGAGAGCTGACGCGAAATTGCCCCTGTCACATGGGTCCTGGAATGCGGGGCAAGGCTGCGGCTAAGGAGAGATTCGAGGCGTGTTAGGGCGCGTCGGGGCCACAGAGGAATCCCACACGATGTTCATGCAGGAGGGTCCTGGCATGCAAGCTAAGGAGGCCTTCAGGCCCGTTAAGTTGTCAGGTTCCGCGGACGCCCCTCCACTTATTAGCATTGTAAATTATGGTGTTATAGAAATTATCGACTATAGATTCAGATGCTTGTTGCCATGATCTAAAAATTCAGAGCCGGTCTGCGGCTCACGAAGGCTGCAGCCCAGAGCGGAGCCACCAGCAGCAGGACCAGGCCACGGCGGCGCGCCATGGGGGGAATCTAATTTCTTTGTATACGAATACACATACAAGTGCGGCTGTTCTTGTGATCATAGTAGAACAGACTACTGTAACACTATGTTGTGCAATATTGTACTATGATTCTGCGCCCGCCCGCCCCCGTTGCTAACTTCAAACTTGTCGGAGGGGTCTGCCGAAACAAGACAAAGGTACGATGCAAGTGCCAGATGAAGGCGACCACTTGGTGAAAGGTCTGATTTTGGAACATGATGATGAATGATGCTTCTTGCATGCTGTCGATGCCTCTGCCTTTGCTGGAAAGCTGTCCGCTGGAGTACAAAAAGGAAAGCAAAGCTTCGTGCATGGCTCCAGCAAAGCAAGTGTCAAATTCCCATTATTACCATATTCGAGGCGAAGCCAAGTTCTCGCGGCAGACCAAGGTCACCACGCTGCTTCTGTGTGCTTGTCGAGGCATGCATTGTCTTCGCCTGCACACCATCTCTGCATGGAAGAGGCATTAACCGTTCAAAGAGATAAGCGGCGGCCTTGAAACTGTAAGGCCGGACAGTCACGAACCCCGTGCCCTCCCAGCTGAAGCCATCGGCTGCACAAGCTACAGGCATCGCAGCGCAGGCATTTCCAAGCTCCCAAAACTGCAGGCTCGTAACCTGGTTCCAGTTGCACACAAAGGCAGGTCTCGTAAACGCGAAACTCAACCTCGTCTCGTGAAGATCCTTGAGCAAATCGCCTTTGTCGATGACTTGGCACCAAAGCCACTGAAATCTAGCAACAGGCCTCCGGCCCTTCGGACAGGAGGATCATACAGGAGCTTGACTGCTCCAAACACAACACTGAGCTCTAGGCTAGATGCTGAAACAACGCAAACACCTGCGCGTGACCCCAGCGTCACATAGAACCGCCCTTGCCGGCTTTCCGCCGGTGCAGTGCCAGAGCAGCAGAGACTCCCATGGCTAAGGCAGCCCCCAGGAGTAGCCAGTACCTAGGCTTGACATTGTAACAAAAGGCAAAACCAGAATACACAACTCTGCACACTGTCTGTCTCTTCGATCCCATGCAAATCGGCCTTACAAACTCATCTCCTGAGTTAATTACTGCTGAGTTGAATAGAAGGTTTTGGACCTATGGCGTAGGAACAGATGTATCAGTATCAGTATTCGATCTGAGCTCGGCAGGCTGTGTGCCTACAGAGCTATAGAACTTACGGCTTAAGGCTTGCTTGGGAGGTTGGGAGGTTCAGAGCAGCGAAGCCGCAAGGTCCTGTCCCTCTGCCGCTCCTGAGTCATCTGGCGGCGGCCTGGAAAGAGAGCGAGAGAGAGAGAGAAAGAGAGAGAGAGAGAGAGAGAGAGAGAGAGAGAGAAGACTCCGCTTCGGCCTTCTGAAGCAAACGGCAGTGCCCAACCATGCACCGAGGGTTCGGCAGTCTTCAATGAATGCAACCACCTGCGCTTTGGTCTCCTGGCAACAGCTCAGTGCAAGCATGCAGGCTTCTATACTTGACCGCCCCCGGCTATGGTCTCCGGCCGAGGATCAATGAGGCAACAATGCGACAAGCCCTGCTACATCTACTGGGATGGGTCCAGGTGCTTTGTCGTGAGCAAACATGTCAAATTGTGTCAAACCAACTCCACAACATACATGTTTCGGCCACCATCGGCCTGCAGCTTGGCCTCTACTCAGTCAGCAAGTTGAAAGACATGATGATGACGACAGTTACGAAGGCGATGTCGACTGTTGCGGCTGTTGGCAGGAGGTGACAGGAGCCTGAGACCCGACAATTTGCTGTATGCTGGAAACTCAATGTGAACTCTCAACATCCCCATTGCACTGAAAACCACTTGCTCCTCGAGGGTGAGCCCGGTATCCACGATGCGGTCTGCTCGTATTCGCTTCTCGACGTCCGGGACCTTGAGAATCCCTTGATGCAAACCCCCGACACGCCGAGTCATGCGCGCATGACTTGCCCGGCATAACACAGAAACTCCACCACTCCAATGTTGACAACAAGCGCACTCTATGTAGTCGGCAGCTCATCACGGACAAGTAGCACAAGCAGCAGCATCATGCAGCAGGAAGTATTAGTGATACAATGCTGCAAGTAGCACTAGCAGCAGTAGCAAGTAGCAGTACCGGTCGCGGCAGTTGGCACTTGTACCTGCAATGATAGTAGTTTTGTAGCACTTGTGATAGTGGTACTGGCAGTGGTGGTGGTGGTGGTGGTGGTGGTAGTAGTAGTCGTGGCAGTAGTAGTTGTAGTTGTAGTGGTAGCAGTAGCAGTAGCAGTGGCAGTAGCAGCAGCACTGTTGATGATAGAAATCCTGCATTGCATTAAGGCTGTAAGGACCCTACACTACTGGAATTCTGGTAAATTCCTTGTTATCAACCGCAGTAGCAGTAGCAGGAGCATTAGTGGTAGTGGTAGTCGTCTTCGTTGTCGAAGTAACTAGTAGCAGCCGCTGATGACCCGACATTCTTCCTCTCTCAAGTTTCTCCTGGCAGAACTATGCAAATGACATGGGGCATCCGTTTCGGCGCCTGCTTGGCCAAGATCGCCGTAAACTTGTCGGGGTCCATCTCTTTTCGAGCCAGAACTCGGGCACGCCTGCGGCCGCCGGCATGTGGTTCGGAGGATCTTGGATGGTGTGTGAGCCAAGAGAAAGGGGCATTTGGTGAAAGAGCGCGAGGGACAAACCGTGCAAAGGGGTTGCAACGGTAATTATAGGTCCCCGGCTGCTGCTCAGCCGGCGCACTGACGACGACAACCAAGTCACAGTGTTGCTCCTCACACAGAACAAACGAAGCGTCAAATCGAGCTGACAACCTTGAGCTGAGTACCTGAAATCTGTCAGAACTGTATCGAACCATGATGTCTCGTCTCCCTGCGTCGCTGAAGACAACTCCCAGCAGTATCACCGCAGGCTCGTGTCAATCCCGACTCGACACATCCCGCTGGGTCCAGATGCTTCTCGAAGAGCAGCGGGATATCGAGGATGCACAGCGGCTGAGAAGCAGAAGCAGCAGCGCAACGGTGTCGAAATTGACTAATAATGCTTCATGCGTACGTTGCACAACACAAGGTATAGTTAGAGGCGACATGCGATGGCATGCGTGCAAGTTAGGGACTCGCTTAAGATTCATTCATTAATTGGGTCACCACTGCTCCACCGCGTGCCTCAGACTGTCGGGACGCTTCGGCGATGAAGGCGTCGCGTGCTGCCTCCACGAGTGGATGGACGATTGCCTGGCAGAGGCATTGAGGTCGGGCTCATCCTCGAACCGAATCCTGCCGTCCCTGAAACCCCAACCCCAGACTTGTTCTTGCACCAATAGATCTTCTAGGACTTCGTAAGCGCGACCGACCCTCTGTAAGTAAGTTTCATTGTGGCAAATGTGGCTGCAGGGACTAAGCCAGTGCCATGTGTCAAAAGTCTGACACAAAGCCGATGAGCCCCGTTCTCCGAAGCTACAGGTCATAGTCCGCTGTGAGAGAGGGCACATCACCGCCTTCTGGAATCGTGTTAGTTCTGCTACGCAACTCTGAGGGTTGGGAGTCTTGAGCATGCCAAGCAGACTGGAGCATTTCCCGTGTGGAGACCTCGAGTTCCTGGAGCTTCTGCTTGTTCTCCTTGAGCCGGGTATGGAACGAAGAAGCTTCAGAAATTCTGAAAGACTGACAGCTTGAAGCTACTGTCTCTGCACGCATCCTGCATGATGGGTCACCACGCCGGTTCAACCCTTGAGACACCCACACCGAGTTGAAACAAAGTCTGCACCGTCATCCCTATCCCGACATGGCGTGTCCTCTCCAACCACCAGCTTGGACAGGGACTTCCGGTCGATGCTGCCATCCTGGCACCATCGTCTCTAGGGTCAACGGTGCAGAGGAGCACCAGCATGCCAGCCTCGGCCAAGACGCCATCTCCGAAAGCCTCTCAAGCTTCATGCAATTACATCAGCCTGCAATGCTGCAAAGCATAGATTGCGAGCTGGTTTGGTGTCGAAGGAGTGGCTTCGTTCATGATTTATGGTTGCTCAAGGTGGAGCTCGAACAAGACACTATGCTCAGCGCCTCTGCAGCGGAGACACTTTGCTCCACATCACAGCTACTGATTCGTGTCCTGGCCTCTCGGATGGGCTTGACAGCCTCACCACCTGGCCTCGGCAAGCAAGCCTCTGCGTTACTGGGACTCTGGCCTAAGTGCAAGGCCACGCCCTCTAGCGTCCAGATGCCTTCCGCTTTATGACTCTATGACACTCTATGACTCTATATATGAATGCCCGGCAGGAAACCACCTTGGAGCGCGGCGCGTACAGTCGATGGACTGTGGCGTCGGCGTCATCCACGGGTATGTTCATCTCCTTGCCCAAACAAGCTCGAACAACGTGAGAGCTTCGAGGGATCTCGTGTCTCGAAGATTCAGGGTCACAAGATGCGGTTCGCTCCCGAAGCCACTTCGACACCGTGCTCTTGCCCATGCCAATGCTGCCAGTGAGGCCTCGGACGGCTTCGGAGCGCTTGGGCTAGCCGGTGCGCGCTTGGGCTAGCCGGTGCAACAGCAACGTAACCTGGCTGCGCCTGAGCTTCCTTGTGCACGAAAGGTTAGATCAGTGTTCTGACTTAAAGGCACCTAGTGAACTCGCTTCCAATGTTAGTGTCCTCTCCCGAGCCCGAGATGTTTCTCCGACAAGGTTCGGCCACGTTCTGTCATACAGCGATTGCTTGTAGGCTAGAGATATGTGCAGTGTCGCAAGATGAAGATTCGAAGGGGCATAAGGTGTCACAGTGCAGCCTGCTCAGGAGCTTGCGGCAAGACCAGCAAAGCGGTTCCGTAAGGGTATCATTAAGACAGAAGACAAGACAATGCCGAGAGCGTCAGAAAAAAGACTGCTGAAACGGGCTTGTTCAACAGAGGTTTCGGGCTAAGTGCTGCTTGAATCAACTGATGGGAGACTCTTGTTGAGCTGAAGTTTGGGATTCTAGGATCCTTGAAACGGGCCTGTCTCAAGGGGCGGATGCACTGGAGATCCTTCTGGGAAAGTCAGGGAATCTTTCGGAGAATTCGGGAGTGCCAGGATATATAAGTTATACACCCGAGGGTGATGGACCAACTCGAAGAGGAGCATGCCAAGATGAAGAAGGTGAAGGCATGACTTGTCAAGAACACTCAACCACTGCATGAAAGACAAGCAATGCAAGCCTATACTTTCAGAACATGTTCAGGAACAGAAATATGCTGCTGTAGACTCTAGATAGTCCTATGTATGCAGTGAATGACTTTGCAAACTCATCGAGTAATACGTTGCAGATTCAGATGAAAAGCTCGCATGTTGGCGAAACCTGATATTTGAGGGCTATTGGTCTCGGATCTTGACGGAACCCCAGTAACAAGACTAAGGTGCAAGACAGTGTCCATGACCGTTGACAGAACATAATGCCTTTGGCATTGCAACCCTCTGCCCCGAACCCTGTGTCCCAAATTGACAGAAGAACCGCCCGGCCCAGGACATTGGGCTGTTGCATGCTACTGCACCCCGTGCGGATGTCCAACAGGGACAACACGTGGACGAAAGATCTGGAAGTTCGGGTGCCCGGTTTTCTCACCAGCCCACAGACAGGTCGCCTGAAGCCTACATCTCGAGGCTTTCAACCTCTATACAACTGCGAGCTCCCGGAATTCGAGAGGTCACGTTCGAGACGTGCTTCGAGACATGGGCGAAGAAGCCTGACAGGAGAACTCGGCCAAGCAACAACCCATCTACCCCAGGCGGGGGACGATCTGCTGCCGGACCGACATCGCTCCCTCCCGTGGTTGATCATCTTGGTCAGCCACAAGCTGTGAGCCATGCCTGGCCCTTCTGAGGCATAGGCACCCCGGGCCCCGCGCGCCCTACTTCAAGCGCAGCAGTGTGCCCAAGCTGGCACGCAAGAGACTATACTGAGGATTCACCTGGCTCTTGCCTCAGAAAGCTCAGCACGCGCTGGAAGGTTCGGAATTTAGCCAGGTAAGCTATAGTAATGATAAGCTGTACAACAGAAGTTGTGGAGCTCCTCCGTCGCAGGCAGCCAGACCAGAAGCAGGGCGAAGAAGCATGAAGACAGAACAGAGATGAAGAGAGAGACGCTTCGAAGATGCTCTGCTCTCAGCAGTCCGCTCCCGGCGTGGCCTCTCGAGGTGGGAGCTCCGACCAAGACTGTCTAATGATAACTCTTTCTCCCGGCCTTCGGCCCGGCCTGAAAAAAACCCATGCAGGGACGGACTCCTGGGAAAACTCAGAACTCCTGTGGCCCGAGCTTCCCTCCGGAATCCGGAGACTCAAAGAATTCAACGGTCTTCACTCTGCTTCGGCCAATGCTCGATCGTGGCCTCTGTGTGACACAAAATTCTCAATCTTAGTCTGCATATTGTCTGCCCAACTTCCTGCTATGTATGAATGTATGCTTTACTGGCCTGGGAAACATTTACCCCTGCCGCTGCTATACCCCAGCACATTCCTTCGCAAATGGCTTCCCTAGCCTGAACTTCAGACTTGACCGCAAACCCCCCACCAACGCACTTGCACGCCTTCCCGGGTGAAAACTACTATCTGTGTCTTTGCGAAGTCTCAGACTGCAAAACTGACCATAGCAGATCCATCCTGTCTCGACTGAGGCCCCCGCAGCCAACGGCATAAAACATCATGCCCTGGGCCACTGGGCGCTGCTCCGGGATGTGTTGAAGCAGGGATGAGCCGCAGAGTCGACAACCCCGGCAAGGGGATTGAACGGTAGGGTGCCCCATGCCGACCTCACTGTGCGCTCGACCCTGCTGCGTCGCGGCGCGTTTCTCCGATGAGTCTGTCAGAACGGGCGCACCGACCGACAATGGACCGGGCAGCCTCCGACTTTTTCATCATGCTCACGATGCTGGGTCGACGTGATTGAATGATCCTCATGATGCTGGTACCGTGGCATTCTCGGGTCTCGACAGAAAGACGTGACACCTGACAAAGCGCAACGCGGCGAGTACGTTGCCCGCGTCTGGGCGCTACCCTGAAATACTCTTGGGGCCACCAAGAACCTGAAGAACTGACAACCTGTGCAGCCAAGACATGTGACACCGTACATGATTGAGCCCAGCAGCCGGATGAACCGCGCAGGCATCGGCCAAGCACCTTGCAGAGCTTTGCAAGCCAGAAGACAGGACGGAGACTTCCTGGACTTTTATGGACTTGTTGGCTTGTTTAGGATCTGTGCTGAGATGAGCTGAGATGTCCTTGCTTCATATACGAGTATGAAGCATCTTAACGATGCATTGCCGTTCTTGTGTGTTTGTACTTCCGAATGAATGCAATGCCCCCCCAAAGCCGTCCGATTGCATGACATTCATAAGTCATAAGCTTTCGCCACGGCACATCAGCAGCTCACGGAACTCACGAGGAGAGTTCAGCGAACTCCTTGCCTGACGTCTTGAGGATCTTTCGGATGGCTGCACTTGCGCACGGGCGCCTCGGTGTCCCGGTGGGTGATGTTGTAGAAGAGCCGGTCTGTATCGGAGAGACGAACGCGATTTTTGAGTATGGGGTTCCTCTGGATCAGCTGTACCTCAGCAAAACACAGGAACCTCAATTTCCAAAGGAGCACGAGCAACCTGCAACCAAATCTAGATTTGCAAAGGCTGTCCTGACCTGCGCGTGCCTGGCAGATAGTGCTTGACAATTGTGCGGGGTTACTATGACCAGTCCATGAAACACACGTTGCCGAAGCCGGTCTGAGTGTCGCACAACTTTCTGCCATTCTCGAAACCGAAACTCGCCTTTGACGCACATATGCCTGAGCGGCAAGGACAGGCGAGCTTATGCACGGTATGCCATTTTGCACACTGCAAGGCTTTGCATCTGCCCGCTGGGCCAGCACCAAAAGTCTCTCAATCACTTAAACCAACGACGCCACGGCACCTAGAGCCACTTCGGCTTGCAGTACTAATACTACAAAAGCCTCGTTGGCTTTATGCTGTTCTTGCGCAAGTTGCTCGAACACGGCGTCCACCCAGCGCTTGCCTCCCGTCTCCTTCGTGCCCGCAGCATCACCTTGCTCAAGCATTGCAGTCAAGCGAGCGAAACAGGGATTCTGCCCAGCACTCTGCTCAACAAGTCTGCAACTCTCGCTGCAAACGCGTGCGGACAACTGCGTTCTCTTCCATACCGGGTTCGACAGACCCTTCACTTTACATTCCAGCAGCTTGCATGCAACTTTTCCCACCCGCTTAATCTTCGCTCAAGGAACTCGATGATGACTGGCGGAACACCCAAGAGATGTCCTCCGCAACCTTGCGAAAGTCTTTGCGCTCCTGGTGCTGCTGAGACGCTGCAGAGGCAGCAAAGGGTGGAGGTGCTTAATTCACCGTCAGGAATCCGGAGACATGTGTGGGGCGACGACATGCTGAAGCTGAAGATGTCGCGCAACATCGGGCCTGAATCACGGAGCTGCGCCGATGTCGGAACAGGATCCTCAGTCGTCTTGCTGCAGGGGGCGGTTAGTTGAAGCGTCACGGAGCATACGTGCACATGCACGCGCGCCGACTGACTGACTGACTGACCGACCGAGCTACCGACCGACGAACTGACTCACTGACTGAGTCGGTCTCTCTTTCTTTCTTTCGCCAGGGCTATAGACCGACTCTCTCTCTTTGCTTTGCTTTGGGGTCTCTCTCTCTCTCTCTCTCTCTCTCTCTCTACCGGGACAGGAGAGGCAAGGACGAACCCTACCCCTCTCTCTCTCTCTCTCTTCTCCTTATAGACTATTGGAAGAGGCCCGACTTCGCTGCTCGCAGGTTCGAGACAGCACGTTTCTGGACAATTAGGCCAGAGTGCAAGTCTGCCTATGATTTGTGGGCGGGGCGAGGGCGGGGCGAGGGCGAGGGCGAGGGAGCGAGAGAGAGAAGCATGTGGACATTCTCCCGGGAGGGGGAGGCTTTAGGATTCCTAGGCTGAGGGGCAGTGGCCACAGGGTCCGTGCCAGCAGACAGGTTTGGGGCCAGTGGGATGCGTTTATTGCCAACTCGGTCTGTACGTTCGGGTGGACGGTTTTCGTGGAACCAACCCTAACCCTGAACTTTAGCCTGCATCCCGGCCTCGTCTCATCCTTGGTCCCTACGACAACGGTTTCCCCGTTTGCTGTACTTTACGGTCTCGCTCTCTGTCCTTCTTTCTTTCTCAAGGCTTAGGGCGAGCCTCTCTCTTTCTCTCCCCCGGGCACAGGAGGCTGTCAAAATCCCACCCGTGCTGCTTCCACGGGTTTTGTGGAGAGGCGTGAAAAGCCGCGAACATCTTGCCGAGCAGCAAGTGAGGATTGTGAATTTCTCCTGCTGTTCGCTGAGCGTAGAGTGTAGACATAATTGCATACACAGTCATATATCTAGTATGCAACTGTGTTTTCTTCCTTTCGCCAGGGTTAAAGGGACCAGGGGTTTCCCCCTAGCCCGCGCACGTTAGCGCCCCCGACCGTTTTGGAGGGGACTTGAGAGACGAAACTGCAACACCTGTGTTTTTGTTTTTCTCTCTCTCTCTCTATCTCTCTCTCGCTCTCTTCATACATCTGGCTTGAAGGAGTCACTGCAGAAATCAAGTTCCAATAAAGGTGCCGCTTCCAAAACTTCTGCGGACTAGCCATACTGGCTTGCAAGAAGACTTACGTAGGGCTACAGGAGCTGCCGGAAGGCCCTTCGCCTCAACAGATGCCAGGAATTAGCTGCCATGGCACTGACCGGCCACCTCGTGGAAGTGCATGTTGCTCTGCCCTGCGAGCATCCTGAGTCAATGCATTCTGTCCGGATGACAGGCTCCAAAACAGAACACGCTGTTCAGTGGCGCCCGAGAGAGAGGCATCTGTACTAAGGCCCGGCTAGTCGCGGCCACATTACTTGCTTGATTCGAGCATCTCATGCCAAATAGGGGTCGAATTCTGATGTGATGGGTGCCGAGAGGCTGCACCGCAGACACGAAGACTTGTGGCTTGGAACCGGCGGAGTTATCTGCCTGTTTTCGGCAGCAGGATTCAAGGCCTTGCCACCCCTGTAAGGGAGAGCTTCAATTGGCGCTAGCGGCGTACATAAGACCGAGCCGACTTGCTTTGACCTTTCCTGGCCCCTTGCTCATGCTCGCTTCTACATCAAGTTTGAAAATTCGGGCTGGGGCTGTTCCCAAGCATGCAGAAGCGACAGTGACATCGTCAGGCACCATGCGCCACGTCACGCCATGTATGTTGACTCATCTCCACGGGGTGCTGTGTTTATTGCCATGGAGCCTCGCCCCCATAGCCTTTGGAACCGCTTCTGCGCAGAGGCTCCAGAGGCCAGGATGACACTGCACCGGTCAAGCCTCGCCGAGCCAATAAACAAACCCGAAACCCCTCAGCAGACTCGCACCCCATGGTTTGTTTGGCACGTTCTCAAAATCTGCACCCTGCCGTGCTCTTGGGCCAGGCCCCTGGTCTCGTCAGGCCTGATCCCTGCTTCGATTTGGACCTCGGCAGTGAGCACCTCAGATCCGGACACGTCCCGCGACCTTCCCATGATGCGAACACCAACACCACGACCTAGCCTCCCCCGGCCCACAGAAGGCCATGCAAGAAGTAGCAAGCGTAGCCCCACTGCAAAGACGGGCCACTTGCGCTGCTGGCCGGTAGGGCTGCGTGCAGGCAGCAGGTTTGGAAGCAACGGCGCCTTTGCGTTGGCTCCGGTGTTGAGGGGAAATTCGGATCGGCTCATTCAGGCACTTGTGGCTCCTGCCGCGCATTCGTGCGGACTTCGCGGATGTGCCGCACTCCTAGTCCTATGCAGAATCCAGAATCTGATGTGTCCTTCCCTGCCCTTTTTGCGCACACACACGCACACAAAGATAACCCCTTCGACACAGACAAGGGACAGACAGCGAGATGCAACAGATTGCGAAACATCTGCGGTGGAGGAATAGAGCAGTTTCCACAGGCGATGGCATGCGAGGATATCATCTGCCACAAAACTAAGAGGTCGCGAAGGGGAAGCAAAAGTCTTCTGCGGTTCAAGCCCTTGCGTCGCCCGGAACATCGCCTGGGTGTCAGAGTGGAGTCCCAGACAAGTATAGCCAGCAGCATGAACCGAATTGGTGTTGAGCTGCTGCTGGCACGAGTCAGATCATATCAAACACTGTTGCACATTTTTCATTCTGGGTTGCTGACGTTCAATGGGCCTCCTGCTACTATGCCAACATATGCGCCACACCGAAGCTCTGCTGACGCCCGGGCACCGACCCCTGCCACAGCATCAACTTTGCTCTCAGCTGGCTGCCTTGGAGACAGGAGTCATTGCATTGCATAAATCTGCTTGGCACTATCATCGGGGTTGGTAGAAGCACTTTCCAGCATTAGGATCGGTAAAGGATGCAGCAGAATCAGTGCAGCGAAACAACGTGTGAATCCAAGACAGCTCTGCTGATCAAGGCTAACCCCCTTCTCGTCTTAAGCTTGTACTTCCAATACTCTTTCAGCGTCCAGCGCTTTGCTGTACAAGCAAGAATCCAAGATGATCCAAGCAATCATCGGCGGTCGCAGCCCTCTTTAAATTGACACCGCCATCGCGAAGGAACGCAATAGGCAGATATAGGCGGGGCCCTGAAGGCGTCTATTGGCGTTTTTCTTTACCACTGGCCGCATTGGGTCGGACAGACCTCCCCCGGCAGCAACACCAGCACGGCTCGTGCACGTGCACGCTGATGCAGCAGCAGAAGTTGCAGCAAAACGTAAGGAAGAGAAGTGTGACGAAAAGCGGAATCGCTCGGATCCAAAGGCTGGGGCATGGCGGGATGTGCATGTAGAACTTGCCTGTCGCCTGATTCACGATGACTTGGACCGCCCTCGACATGTCTCGACGCTGCTCATTCAGCTCTTTGATCTCCATGGATCGACGGCGGAACGGCTCTGTCGCAATCTTGCGGATCGCTGCTACAGAAGTTTGTGGAGTGGCTGCATGCTTGTCCAAGATGACAGCAACGCCGAGGTCTCTGTGCACCACAGCCACGGTCATCTGATCTGCGAAGAAAGGCATGATTGCCAAGGGCTTTCCAGAGGCAAGAGCTTCGTTCACACTGTTCATGCCACCATGTGACAGGAAACCGAAGACTGCAGGATGAGAAAGGACCGCGCGCTGCGGTGCAAATTTCGTTACCAGCACATTCTCTGGGATGGGGACATCGGGCTTTACTTTGGAAGCCCATAGAACAGTGAAGCCGCCTTGCTTAAACGTCTCCACCAAGAGCGTAGCATGCTCTCTGGACAAGCGGACCTCACAGGGACGAGCAGCATCAGTACTCCGCAGGTATGTATATGTATTCAGAGTGTTCAGTGCCAGTTTTCTCTTCCTACCATTGTTTGCACGAGCATTCGACGCTATCGACCTCAGAACCAAAGGCCACGTACAGGACCTGTCTTGATGCCAGCTGCTGTTCGTCGAGCCATGCCATGACCTTCTCCTGGCAGGTGAAGATGTACAAAACTGTGCGTACAAACCTTTCACACGTACCAAAGGCAAGACGAAGCTTCATGGTTTTGCCGCTTTTGCTCCTAGAAAACTGAAGAAATGCTGTCATGCCCCCTCAGACATCTCCTTGTCGTCGCTCTTCATCATGCCACTCCCCTCCAGGCCAGGATGGTCCAGGATGCCAACGGGAAACCTCAGAGACAGCCGAGCGCCCATCTGCCCGCCGGGACTGTTGCGGTTTCTCTTTCGAGTCTTGGCGACGGGCGTGAAAGGGCTCCAAGCCGTTGGCCTGCCAGCAGTGAGCTCCTGGGCTGGCGTGCATCTCGTGTGGAGAGGGGCACAATTCTTCACCGCCCAGGCTCTGGAAGGGTAGTGATGACAGCTGGGTGCTGTGAAACAGCATCAAACTGCCACACCTATCAGGAGCTCAAGAGTTCTAGGAGGCGAGTTCTGAAAATCTGTCCCACCTCCAAGGGCCTCGGATGCCCCAGTTGGTAGCGGAAGTACCTGGACTGTCTTGCAAGACTGCATCTTCAACACCTCCAACTCTAATCGGATCCCTGGTCTCCTAGCAGAGGAGGCTTTCGGGGTTCGAAGCTCAAACTCGAAAACACAACGCTTTCTTTCGGCCAAATCCCGGGTGCATGTTGATCATGCTGGCGATGCCTGTCAGAGTTCCCACAGTGTGGCTTGGGCGCTGGGCCGAGCATGAGAGTATTGAATCTCGGGCTCCAGAAGGCTACGTACGTTTGCCTACACTTTCGACTCAGAATCTGGCAAGGCCTCTGGCAACCGAGGGCCCAGCACGGGCATCGAAAGCACTGACTTTTGCAGTGACAAGGAAACCTACACAAACATGCCCAGGTACGCTCGATGAAGAAACCGTGGATGCGCACTGCGGTGTTCTCCAGCAAAAGCAGCGGGCTGTCGTAAAGTTCCTGGAAACATACAGGTGCAAGGAATCCTGGGACATCCAGCACCAAGTAGAAGCCACTTCGACGTTGTAGCTGCAACAGCAACTCTGTTTCGTGTAATGGGCAACTCGCATCTCTTTCAACCCTTGACCGAACAAAATGAAGCAATGGATTCCGGTTTATACTGCTAGACTAGGGCTCGACTTGAACAATACAACGTTTCATTTGCGGTCCCCACTGTTCCAACATTGACACGTCCTGGCGTGAATGGATGGATCCCACGTTTGGTTCTGTAGCCCAGGGAAGGTCAATCCTAGGCTCAGGGCCCAGCTGCACCGCAGTCGAAATCTTCAGAACTCACAGCATTCTGTCTCGCCTGTGCTTCGCATGTATGCTGGGCGAGGCTCTGCACGGTTAGCCAACTTGGGGTACCCCAGCCGATGCCCACAACAGGTATCTCCAATGCCTCACAGACAGGGAAGAAGTACGGTAGAGACGAGCGCTTCTTCATCATCTCCCCTTTCCCCACAGCGCCTCTCCCAAGGCATAGAAAGCAGGATAAATGTAGGGCACACAGAGCACGTCGGGCTTCATCTCCTCTGCAAGCATCCGAAGTAGCATCCGCAGTGGCACCCTAGAAATCCAACAGATAGGAGGCTTCGAGCTCCGAGTCTCCTGCAACGGTGGCTTCAACTTCAGCAGCATTGGGCCTTCAGAGGGCTAGGCTATGACAGGCTAACGGCGACCCTCGGCTCCGGCCTCCCATGAGGACGTTCAGCAGCGGCATCGTCACGGAAGTGAGAAATTGTGCAGTTCTGTAGGACGTGCTCTGAAGAAAGTCCCTTAGATTTTTGACGTGGCCAAAGACATTCCGAGGACTGCAGAGAAAATTACTAAGCTTCGAAGATTGACCAGGCATGAACCATTCGACCTGGTGCCGGACCATCGAGGAATTGTTGTCACAAGACGTGCTTGATGAACCGAGTCTCAGCGCCGCGGCGCCCTTCTCACGGTCCATCGAAGATGGGCCGACGTCCACCATTTTCGCCTTTGGAACCAGTTTCCTCAGTAGGTTCGGAAGCAAAGTCGGGCAGCGGAGGTCACATGCAGACCGACGATAGGCTTCAGAGTTTTGAAGATCTCGACTCCACATCTTCGCAGATTTTCACCCTGTGCTCTGGTGGTGCTGCGGTGTTGCTCTACTATGCCATTGCCACTTTGTTGTGATCCTGTATGTTGTCATCAGTCTAGAAGCCGCCCTAGTTGCTTAGCAGTAGCAGTGGCGGTAGCAGCAGGAGTAGTATGAGCAGCAACAGCATTTTCAACAGCAGTAGCAGCAGCAGTAGCAATAGCAGTAGGAGTGGTGGTAGCAGTATGACTAGTAGCAGTGGTGGCGGCGGTGGTGGTGGTAGCAGTGGCAGCCAAACACTAGCAATATCAGCAGCAGCAGCAGCATACATGTATGCATGTATGCATGTATGCCTGCAAGTATGCATGTATGCATGTATGTATGCATGCATGTATGTATGTATGTATGCACGTATGTATGTATGCATGCGGTATGTATGCATGCATGCATGCATGCATGCATGCATGCATGCATGCATGCATGAACGGAATGTGATGGAATGTAATGTAATGCAATGTAATGTAATGTGATGTAGTGTATGTATGTAATGCATGTCATGTATGTAATGCATGTAATGTAGGTAATGTAAGTAATGTATGTACTGTACGTAATGTATGCATGTATGCATGTACGTACGTATGTATGTATGTATGTATGTATGTATGTATGTATGTATACATACATACATACATACATACATACATATCCGCATATGTGTTTTTTCATATATATATACATATGCAAATACATACATACATGCATACATACATACATACATACATAGACCTCTGATTTATCTTTCTTTGATGTGCTTACTTACTTGATAATGTTACCAAGCTACTTGCTACTTGCCATTTCTAACAATAGACTGAATTAATGTGTCTGGAAAAACATTAAACGGTTCCAAAAGAGTCCGGGGCAGCCGCCACTCCCTCATGTCAAAACTTCCTGAAACTGCTACGCAGTACAGCAGCCCGGGCACTCTATCTTTCTCACCGTCTCGTCGTGGGCCAGAAAGCTTACGACGTGGCCTTCGTCAAGGAGGCCATGGGCAATCGGCAGCATGGACCTGAGCGTCGGGCGGTGGAAGCACGTTGATAAGTTACAATAAGCCTGTTCACAAGAAGACCTAAGTTGCGACAAACAGTTAACAAGAAATTTGACCAGCAGCAGCAGCAGAAGCAGCAGAAGCAGCAGCAACAGCAGGAGCAGCAGCAGCTTTTCAACAGCAACAGCACCAGCACCATCACCACGACCACCACACCAATTGTCACATGCCGTCCTCATCATCACTGTCATCCTTATCCGGGATAAACATTGTCCTGTGCAAACCTTCGGCGTCTGAGTAAAGTGTACATCTACACAGTATGATACAGTCTAAATACAGGTACCAGTGGCGCATAGTGGGATGCTGGCGGCGCAATGAACGCGACATGCACGGCCGAGGCGGTGCAAGCCAGCCAGAGGAGGCGCGAGGCCCACATGGCTGCCAGCTTGCGAACCAAAGGATAATTCCCCGCCGAAACGCGGCACAAAGGGGGCTTTTCCTGCTAGAGCTTTCCCTTCGCAGCCTTCAAGCAAAGTGCTTTGAATGGCCTCGGACCGTCAGCTCGGGCGCATCAGGCACAGGCTGCGAAGGTCAAGCGAAAAGCTTGAGCCAGAAGAGCGGAGCGCTGCATGCTCTCGAGGTCAATCTGTCAGGGCACTGCTGGGGCTCCTGCATTGAGGCCTCTGAAGCCGTTACCGCCTGCGAAAGCTGTAAACTACGAATCGACATTGGCCTTTAAAAGCCTCTAGCAGGAACGATCCTCGCCGCAACGGTGCCTGAAGTGACAGCTCCGACGTTGAATAAAAACTGCACAGGCAGAAACTGAAAGCACTCGACCGACTCTGCCTGATCTGCGACCCAAAGCACAGCCAAAGCGATCTGGTGCCTGAGAGATGCTCTCTCTCGTAAACGCGATCGCCCCTTCCTTCGAATGGATTTGACCTTGGTAGGCAGCGGAGTCGAACGCTTTCGAAGCGGCCAGGCGCACTCCTAGGGCGGCCGAGATCCTACTGCACCGATCGCGCACTAGTACTCTTGCGGCCGAACCCAAACCAACTCCCGAAGCAAAAAGCCCTCGTTGCACGAAGCCGTCGTCTTTGGATCGAAGGCAGCAAAGTCACCAAGCAGGTTGACGGCGACATCGTGGACGGACTGCTCTACGGTGAAACTCCGCACCTTAAGGGTTTGAGTGCTTCGAGGAAATGCATCAAAAAGAAGCGGTGCAGCCACCCTCCATCACGTGTGTCTCGGCCTTGACTGAAAGGTACCGTGGTTATGTAGACCCCCTGTACTAGTCATTGCAAGCATAGTCTGTACCAAAACACAAGCTCAGTGCAGCGTCGGTGCCAAAGCTCGGAGCACCACTTCCTGCATCCGGTTGAAAAAGCTGCTCAAGATCATTAAGCTTGAAATGCTTGGGCCAGCACCGGGTGGGTTTATATACCAGGTGCGAGGGCAGCCATGTGCTAGCTTTGTTGGCATTCGCGGTAATAGAACTGACCGGGAGGCTTTCGGACCTCTAGGAGAAAAGCTTCAGGCAATGAGGCCAAGCCTCTTCTCAGTCCAGGCAGCTCTTAATCCCAGCTTTCAGACTCTTGGTGGCTCTTTCTGCCCTCCGAACCCCACCCGGCACTACAGATAGCTCGGCCTGGCTCGCCGCTTGTCGGGAGAAGACATCACCCATACCGCAACCTGCCCGCTTTGACAGAAGGTGTACATTACGGTTTATTCATGTCTGAACTTACTCCATGAGTTCCAAGGAGCTCTTGCTGGGGCTGCGCTTGGAGCCACCGCGCTTGCTCGGAGAGCCTTGTGGCAGGCAGCGAGTGATCCGGCCTCACGAAGGCTGTAAGTTGAGGACCTGGCCTCGCTGCGAGCTTCCAGCCACGCTCCCAGAGCGTAGCGAAGGAGTGGAATGACTTCGACTCCGAGTCCCTGCCTTGCGAGGGCGAGGCCTTGGGCCTCCTGTGAAGCCTTGCGACTCTACAGTTCCCAACCGTGGCACCCTGAAGGAAACTGCGATCCAGTGCCCCGGCCTCACCCCTCGCATGGACCTCTCGGACAACTGCCAGCGCAGCTCCGGCTGCTTCCAGAGCTGCGGGTGCGGAGCGACGCCGAGAAGTCTGGAATGGACACGGAAGCAGAAATCCGTGAGACGGAGCTTCGAGCATCCTCGTCCATCACGCTACATGCCACTAGTGATGTGCTGTTGGAGAGGCCCCTCCAGCTCTGTTCTCAGTCTTCGAGGCCTGTTCGAGGCCTGTGCAAAACTACGGGATACTACGGGGTGCAGCAAAAGTTCCTCAGTGGGGCTCAGCAAGAAGCTGGTTCCGGGCCTTGGCGAGGTTACGGTTATTTTCATCTGGAACGGAACCTGCGAACGCTAGGACCGCTGGGAATCTTCCGGCCTCAACGTTTGGCTGGCTGCCATCCATGGTAGCAAAGCGGAGGGCAGAGAGCCGTGAATTCTAAGGCTGGGCGTCTTGAGCAGTAAGACGCCGTCGACAATTCGGTGAAGTCCAAAGGACTGCAGACATAAACTTCCTGCGACGTTCAGAAGTTTCCACAGATCCCACGGTGTCATTGCTGTCGTGCTTTGTTGCCAAAATGCAAACTGACAAATCCTGGGCCCGACACCCACGACCAAGGTTTCGCCAACTCGCCTGTTGTGAGCCAGGACTTTCGTGCGCGGCCGCTGAAGGAGATAGATGGCGGATGTTGAGCCGAGCAGTAGGTCCGCAGTTTTTGTCGGATGGACTCGGCCGCCGTATGCTGCCTTGACAACTCTTGCTAGAGATCTTAACATCATGGGCAGCGGCCTGCCGCCACGTCGACTGGCCTGCAAAACGTCCGTACAGAATCTAACTACTTGCAGTCTCCGTTCATGCAATGAGAAATTCCACCGAACCCAGCATCACACAGCTCCAGGGCACCTTTCCATTAGGCTGCATGGTTGCTCAAGGGCTCTAGTGACTCTAATTAGTGGGGGACATAAAGTGCTGGCCAGGCAGGATTCGCTCTATCAAGGTTCAGTCGCTAATTCAGTAGTGAAGGTTGCAGCTTTCTGAGAGCATCTGGGGATAATTGGATATGGCGACTGCGTCCTCCTAAGCTGTGGTTCAAATCTTCTGGTGCGCAGAACTGCATACGTTGAGGGACTTGAGCCGAACACAGGGTGCTCGGAAGCCTCGGAATCCGACTGGCCGTGCGTTCAACTCGTGAAGACGAGCGGCGTGGTGAGCCCTCAGTTGATCGAGAATGCTCGGGGAGGACAAGACCTAAGACAGAGGCATTTTTCGCTGCTGGCGCGGCAACGCAGCAAGGGGAGGCGTCGGCTAGCTTCCAGAATAAACGATCCTAAGCCTAAAACTTTCAGCGGATGCAGGCATGTGCGAGTTCGAGGTTGTCCCTGAACAAGTACTGCACAACAGCATTCTACAACAAAGAGAGCCAACAGTGCCTGCAATCTCTGGTCGTCCTTCCAGAGTGCTCATGTCCATGTTCTGCATCCGCATCGATTTCTTATGTTGTTCGATGGGCTCACAGCACTCTATCGCGAGAGGACCCGCTCTTCGCATCAGCTGTCCAAATATGAAATCACGCCCTTAGGTGATCTTAGTTGCAATGCGCACAGGCCACATAGGACTGTCATGAGCCACCCTGAACAAGCGGCAGGTAAGAGGAGAACTGCGGTAAAAGCGGATTCCGGACTGGTCCACGTTGTTGAGCTAGTTCGTGGTGCCAGCAGATAACATTCTCCCTCCCATCCTGACCTTTGACAGAGCCCTGTATCCTCAAGCCACACCACATTGTGGATCCAAGATACTCGACCCCACGTGGAACAGCAATGTGCTTGCAGCGGATGCATCGCCAGGGTCCCAGGGTGTCAATGCTCTCTGCTATACAAATTTCACAGCTAAGCTGCCTGGGACGCCCGGGACCCTTCGACCTGCTCTTAGGATCCTCTCAGAGAGATGTGACAGCTATTGCTGTCAAGATTCTTGAGGACTGCATCTTGTGTCTTGTGGGCTACAACATGCTACAACTCCACTCAATCACCGTTGCGAGAGGAAAGAGCAGGCATGCTGCCTATTTTGTTTGCTGTCGGGCTGTGCACGACAGTCTGACGCGAATGCGAGCAGTGCGAGTGCTCGACTCTCAATGGGCGAAATCCCGCAGCCTGGCAAGACTGGCCGCGAGGAAGTGTGGCAATTGGAGGTACTACAACACACAGCGCTGGTGGGTAGCCGTACGAGTGAGCCAGCGCTTCTTTACAATGACCTGCTCGAATTACTCGCCAAAAATGGACGTACGGGTTGCAGGGGCTTCTGTGAACCGGCATCCATGCCGTTTAACCCTGCGCTATGGCTCCGAGCAGCTAGCTCCCGCCTCAGAACACGGCAACATCAAACAGAACCCGTATGCCCAACTCTACCCTCCGTTGGGTTGTAAGGGCGGCGCCCAAGGCCTCGTCCCGCCGCCTCCTCACGCGGAGTTGTGGTCGGCCGCGCGGCCGTGTGCGGGAGCGTCAGAGTCAATGGTGGTGACCATTCGGCTGCGGCTTCGGCCCCAAGCATTTGCCGTAGGCCTGCTAGGCAGACAAGATCAAAGTCAAATTGACCTTTTGCAACTGCTAGCCATCTGTGGCCGGCTTTGTGGGCAGACATGGCAGACGACAACTGTATCTGATGCACTCACAGAGCTCGAAATCGGCCTTCTGGATTTCATGCTGGAACTTGAACGAGTCGTTCTTCATGGTGTAGTGAAGGTCTAGCTTCTTTTCCTGGCGCGCCGAAATGCCAAGGACAGGGAAGCTTTCCAGCAATCTAAGCAAAGGCTGAAGGCTTGCGACAGTGCCTCCAAGGTCGACTGCAACTTGTTCATGACCCGAATTTGCGCCTGAAGCGACCCACGAAACTCGCCGAAGTACAGTGGTGTAGCTGTCAGGTCCCTTGGGAGCAGCAGACTTCTCACGGTGCCAACTCCTCGGTATTTAATTATTTAATTCTTTCCATCGTCCCACAGCCCTGAGCCATGCAGGTCACGCAGCAGCCCCTCGCCTCCAGTGCCTGCACGATTAGCAAATGCATGGCTGTCGAGTCTGATATTGCGCCACTGACAAGGGACACGACAAAGCACGGCGGGGCGAGTTTGAAGCTCCAACAGCACGAGCCCTTCTTCTTCTGGAGTGTGAAGAAGCCTCGCGGACTTGGCTGGACTTCTCTTCCTCCTCTTTCTCCTGACATGATGCCAGAATGTTCAGACTGGTGTTGGTAGACAGGAGACTCACCCCTTGAGAGCCTCTTCATCCTCGGCTTCCTCCTTGATTGCCAAGTAGTACTCGATCGTAAAGGCCTGGCAAGCAACGGCAGCAACGCCTGGCCTTTTTCTCGCCTGAACATGACTCGAAAGGCCTTTGTGATCTCGAAGATAATTGCCACGCCGAGTAGGTAGAAAGCCCTGGAGTGAGCTGAGGCGGTTATGCATCATGTTTGTGCACGCTGGCCCCATGCGCCCGTAGAAGCATTAATCGTCCGGAGATGACCCATCCGTTTGCATTTCGGTGCTCCGATCTTGGAGTTGCTACGGGGCGTTTGATGGCAACAAAACCTTTTGGCAGTAAAACCTCGCGAAGCTTCCCGTGCTGCCAGCGACAGAAGCTTTTCAGCCGAAGGGCGGGAAGACGTACCAAGCGATGTTCCCCCAGGATGAGGCTGCCTCTGCAACTGAAAGCTGCTCTAACTCAGAGCCGCTAACGAAGTCACGACAATCCCATCGCGGCACCTGCAAAGCATCCGCATTCTCTGGGACATACTCACCTGAGATGCTTCAGGGGACTGCAGCATTGCAGCATGACCATGTCTTAGGGGACTCTTTAGTTCCGACTCTGCGGCCGTCCCTGGGGACAACATCTCGCATCCCGGACATCTGGTCAATTAACAGGCCCCGGGATGCCCTGGGTCAATGTGGAACTAAGATGTAGTCAATGTAGTCTGCTTCAGAGCTAAGCGTCTGAGAAGCTGCGCGAAGAAGGTGGTGAACGCCATGGACATGTCGTTGAAATTGAACACATACCTCTGCAACCGAGCGCACACAAGAGCAGGACGGAACAGTCACCTTGCCCTGTTGTGGCCAAGTCACAAATGTTTCTTTCCATAATCAAGCTCCTGTGCACCAGGGTGACAAGACTGAGGTGGGTGCCACTGAGCACTGGTCGAACCGGATCTAACTCGTGGCAGGCAACGGGAAACATAAAACACAAACCCATCCAAGCACTGTCAGCCGGGAGAGCTCAGGATTTGAACATGTCTTAGCAGTGTGTCCTTGAGCGCCGGCTGACCTTCGTAGAGCACGCCGCCCCACAGGTTCCTTTCGTTGTTCCGACTCTGCGCTTCAACCGTTATTCAGGTCAGTCGCTTGCCACTGCTTGCCGAGCCACATGCTCAGAGCTGAGAAGAAGAAGAGCAATACGCCCAACAGCTGAAGAATATCACCGGCCTCAGATCACACAGCTGGACTCCAACCATATGTTGGCTCAAGCATGCAGGTGAAGTCACTGAGGCAGTGGCTGCATTCACCATTCGCGAGACAGTGCGCACCATGAACTGCACGCGCGGGAATTGCTTCAGCTGTTTGACCTTAAGCAGCAAAAGCTCCGTGTTGGCTAAGGCTGGACAGCTGGACATGAGCTTTGCACGTGTCAATGCGACTCAACGCGCGTGTAGCACACCACTCCATGACTCCAGCAAGCTTGTGTTCTGCTACTGATACCGGCATGCTCCTCGGAATCGCACCACACGGATAAGTCTGAGGAGTCGGAGGATGTTTGCGTAATGCTTGAGGTCCTCAGGCTGCGCTTTGCTTCACGGCTTCACCAGTTCGCTATGCTTGATTTCCCTTTGATCCTAACATCCAACGATCTGAAGCTGAGAAAACGGGCCAGCTGAGCTGCACAAAGCTCGCCTCCTTGTTTTTGATCACCCCTTTCCGTCCGCCTACAACTCGCCTCCTATGTGCCAAGGTTCTGCCTGCACCGTTGCAAAAGGCAAATACGGGAGCAGAGTAGTCGCCAGCAGCAGCCAGGTTGTGAAAAAATCGAACCTTCAAGGCCGTCTGGCATGGCGGAGGTGCTCTTGTCAGGGATGACTGCATGCACTTCACAAAGGTGAAAGAATTCCTTGCCGGGGCTCTTGTTTGCCCAAAAGCTGCAGTACTCGGCCCAGGACTTGACCTGCTGGGTCGGAGTGACTGCAAGACCACACTTCAGACGAAGTGCCGGCATGATCTCTTTGACGCGTACATTTTGTAGAACCGCTTCGATCCGACCATCGGCAATCATTGGCACAGAAAAAGCTTCTCAGTACCCTGAAGATTGGAAGGAAATGCCTGTCATGGCCTATGCCGACGACTCGGACCGGCACCTAGAACTGGACCATCCACTGAGTGCTGGGCTGACAGCTTGATGACAACCTCGCCTGGGCAGCCAAACGATATCACATTCCACGCAGCTGGGTTGATGGTTTCAGCCCTTGCTGGGAGTCGGAATGCCTTTTCAGGCCGCCACTGCAAGACCCTGGGCGCCCAGCCGACGTAGGCAAACGCGAAGACGAGGTCCAGGATGCGGAAGGCAGCTGGAGTCCCCCAATCGTTGAGGTTGTATGCGGACCTTGGACTGGCTTGAGAATGCAGTATGCTTTCTTCTGTGCCCGTGGCACATGGCTTGTGAAGGGAAAGAGGGAAGAAAGAACCCTCCTGGAACTTCCCTGCGCTGTGAATCCTCCAGCGAGGCCACGAGGACCCCAACACGTGCCCACCCAATTACAACAATCTGGGACCGCGGCTGTAGAATCACGAGTGCAAAATTTGCCAGCAACACCTGTTACAATCGTCTCTTCTCGATGATTTGCTCGGGATTGAAGTGTCCAGGGAGGCATCGCTATCGGGAAACGCTGTCAGAACCTTCAAGTCCACCGTACCGGGACCACCGCTCACGAAGTGTCCATGCCTTCGAGCTTACGTTTCTCGAAGTGCCTGATTCATGAAGACGTCGAAGGTCGGAAGCTCCCTTGGCTCCCAGACTATATTCCTCCAAAGCAGGGATGATCCGTTTGCACTTACCGTGAGGGCCTCGCTGCGTGCCTCAGCCAAGTATACCGCTGCTCTTCCCACGTCCGGGGAAGCCGTCGCTTCATGCACGAGTCCTTCAAGCCCGAGGCCACAACGATGGCCATGCTTCAGCCTAAACTTTGCCGGCTGTGCAATCAACTAGCCAGTCCCCACCCAGTCCTTCGGGGTTGCCCATAGTTGGTTCTGAAAGACTCGGCAAGCGTCCAGGAACTTCTCCTGTCCAGCTAATTCAGAGAAGCTCCAGCGCACTGCATGCAGCATGGCATGCTTGCGAGCCGTGATTTCAAGACGAAGAGGCTGTTGAAGCTTTCTGACATAAGAAGACCATCCCCGTACTGCCTCGGTGACTTCGCCAAAGTGTTGGAGCACCAGCTCCGCCTCGCTTGAGCACCATGCACCACAAGTCCCTTCATGCATACAGGCACATAAACAAGAGCTTAGACAATTATGCAAGTCTTCACGGGTAAAGCCAACCGCTCGCAGATCTATCCTCACTTAATATTGGCTCCATCTACACATCAATACGCGCATAAGGAAGCAGGCACATCCAGTGCATGCACATAGGCACACAGACACACGACTGTATGCATGCCCACATGCACACACTTGCAGACATACCTACAGAAACACCGGCACACATTCAGTGCTAGAGAAGGGGTTTCTGCCATCCCTGGTAGCAACCGTTGGCAAAGACTTGTCCCTTCACGCTGACATGTGCACTCGCTTTGTCTTGCCTCAACTCTGCCTACATTGCACGGTATTACCTGTCATTGAAATTACTCTTAAACCATTGTGTTGCAATAATGCTTGGTAATCCCGCATTTCCCGCTCGTTGCTCCGTGAGTACACGCTGAACAAACGGCGCAGGTTTCACACTTGGCACGAAAAAGCAAACTCCTTTATGTGCAATATACAACACACAGACCAAACAAACGCACACACACACACATGCAGAGAGACACACATGCTAGCGCATACAGGATTACAGAGCTTCATGCTTCATAAATGTGCATGTCAGTGTGTATCATACACTTACATACATGTACAAGTGCACATGCTGAACAGTATAGTGGCACAGATCCGTGGACCTGTGTGTACATTCAGTCGTTCAATCTCTCCAGCATGCACTTCTTTATTCAACAATGCACACCGGCATGCATCTAACCTTTAACTTTAAGAATATCTGCCAGCAGCCGCAGCATGGAGAAACGGAGGTGCAGTCCAGCCGGTTCTGCTACTGCTCGGAAAATGTGACTGGCACATTTTGTGTAAGCGGCGTACCACAGCACTGGTGCACCAAAGCAGTCGTGCTCTAAAAAGATCCATGCTCAGCTCCACACCGTTGCGCGCTCGACGGGGAACATGCCTGACGAACGACGGATGACCACAGGTGCCGGCTAGCAGAAGCTGCAACCGAGCGGCGTGGAGATTTGCCTAGATCTTCCACAAACTCTATAAAGACTTCGTGGGGAACCACTTGGTAGTCGCTGGAGGCGGCCTCAACGACGAATCGGCAGTTGATGCATTTCGTAGAAGGCTTCAATGTCTTGGGCATCTGTGCTTTGACTCGAATTCCAGCTTGAGCTTCTGCCCACTTAAGAAAGCTCTAGCACTTCAGCAACCTTCGGCTTTCTACCACAATAATGTCGATGTGCTTGCCAGCTGGGAAGTCTCCTTCGTGCAGCCAAGATTCAGACAGCGTCTTGAAAGCGCCATGCATGCTCTGGGCCTCTTTCCATCACACTCGTTTAGAGGGACGCCGGGTGAATCTACGGTAGGGACAACATCACATGCGGAAGAAACCCCCGTTTTGCCTGCGCCGATGCTTTCCGGTCCAGCTCCTGACTATGCGAAGCAGCTGAATCTCCAAACTGGCTTGTGGGACCTGTAAGGTGGGTCCGGACGGCTTCTTGGTGCTAATGACCAACTAAGTTCATGAGCTCCAAATCCTGACTCGACTCCCCGAGTCCTCCTCTGAGCCTTTCAAGTAAGCCGCCACGAAGGCGTCAATAACGAGATTGAGCAGCCTGGGGAAAGCTTCTGACTGGCCGGGGTTGGTGGTCATGCTCGTGCCGGATGCTCCACGGGGCCATCTCTCCGAGGGTCCACTGGTACATCTTCAAGTTTCATGTAAGGTTCCACCCTCTGCCGCTGGGGCCCACGCAGAATCTGGCCGATAACTAGGAAGACCAGCCAGAAAATGCCTGAGGAGACGCAGCGCATCATCAATTACGAGCCTGCCGCCGTGAAGCCCACCCCGCTATTGCAAGCCGTGCTGAGCCAGCCTGACAGCCGGTAGGTAAAGAAGGACGGGAGGAAGTTGCTGACGAAGCCTTCACCTGGCGACGACGATGATGATAGTTTTAGTAATCACAACAATACTATCGATGCGGATGGTGCAGATTCTCCATGGCCCTTATTCGTACTACGTTCTTGTTCGCTTGCGGAAAGGATGAAGAATCAAGCCTTTGGGTCCGAACAGTGCTACGTATCGAGGCATGTCTTGGTAGACAGTCATGTTGCAAGGGAAATCAGGGGGATTTCATCGTGCCTCTGTACTTGCGTTCCCAACCCGTGCTGGTACGCTTAATCTACATTCCCACATACTAACATGCTTGCCAGAATTGCCAGTACGACAACCACCGTGGTAGCTAGTCGTAGAGTAGTCGTCGTCGTCGTCGTCGTAGTAGTAGTAGTGGTAGTGGTAGTGGTAGTGGTAGTGGTAGTGGTAGTGGTAGTGGTAGTGGTAGTAGTAGTAGTAGTAGTAGTAGGAGTTGGACTAAGAGCAGGAGTAGGAGCAGCAGCAGCAGCAGTCGTAGTAGTAGTAATACTACTCAGTAGTAGTAGTAGTAGTAGTAGTAGTAGTAGCAGCAGCAGTAGTAGTAGTAGTAGTAGTCGTAGTCGTAGTAGTAGTCGTAGTAGTCGTAGTGGTCGTAGTAGCCGTAGTAGTCGTAGTAGTAGCAGCAAAA